GTAGCAAACATCGGGACTGATTTTTACAACAGGACGTCTGTTATGTAATTTTTATTACAAAGCAAATCAATAAAAAAATGATTTGCTGATATCTATGAGGAAATTAGATGTGTGCAGCAACCTGCAAGTTTTATAAACTAGATATAATGAAATGTATTTTAAAATCCAATCCAGCATTTCAAAATATTTGTATTTATTTAAGTAATTTAACAAAATTTAATAAACATGTTTAATTTGTAACTGAGCGCCTTTAAATTAAAGCCTGAATATTTTTAAAATGTATAAATTAAAAAAAAGACTTACAGTTGAAACCACTCATTTACATGCAGTTCATAAAAGAGAAATCATTTCTGCATTTTAATGTCACAATTATGAGAAAGGGGTTTTTTTTAAAGAGAGAAACAGTTTTCAAAGTCAGCTTACCTTTCTAAATTCTCTGAAAACTCAAATGATGTTAAAGTTTTGTAACTTTCGCTGTAATTTGATTTCAATCAAATTTGAGTTTGGAAAGTTTTTCTGTTGCTTGTGTGTTATTTTGTAATTATGTTATTTATATGAATTATTAAAATAACAAAATTTCCACTTAACTATAAATTTTGGTCTCCCTGGTTTTGTAATTTTAAAAATGAAATGATTGATGTTTTAATCAGTTTCTAAACTTTTTACCAAATACTTTCATACTCTTTCTGGAGTCATTTCTGGAACCCTTGAACGGCTTTTTTATTTATTTATTTATTTTAAAATGAGTAAAAGTTCAACTCTTACTTGAGTTCAACTTTCGATTCTGTGAAAACAGAAAGGGAACTTGAATCAACAACCACATAAAGACGAACTAGCAAAGAACTGAAGCAGAAACAGTTTTTTCTGTTCTTACGATGAGCTGATGAGGAGCAGGTGGGTAGATTGAGAAAAGCTCAATCAATCAGCAGCAGTAAAACAGAAACGGGTACGGGACAGAAATGGAGGACAGAAACAAAACAAAGTTTAACAAATATGGAAAAAAAATCTGATAAAAACCCTTTAGTACTAAGACATTCATGTCTGACATAAAGATTGCAGAACGACTTATGCAACGATGAACGAAATGAAATCAGCTGGGAAAGCAAAATGCCGACCTCATCGTTGTTCTATATTTACCAAATGAACAGCAGCTGTTCACTATTACACACCCAAACTGCACAACTTCACCTCGGTACGTTCCTACGCTGACGTTTGGCATTTTGAATGCTGTATGTGGACCTTTTAGGAGTAGTGTTGCCACGGTAACGTCAAAAATATGTTGATTTAACACACATGACGTATTTCAGCGTAAAACGATACAGACTTTCTAACCGTAGCCAGTTAGAAATACATCTACACTTCAGATCATTAGGCAGATAAATCACTGGTTTGAGTAAAAATAATATTTTCACATGGCAAATAATTTAGTAGCACGTTTAGTCGAATGATGGAAAACCTGTTGAAGCATGTTCAGATGAAGGCAGCACAACATGTTGGTTCTGGTGCATTTAGCTCTAAAACTGAGTGAGACGAGTTTGTCCAGACAGATAAAAGAAAAGCTGGAGAAAGAAACACACGAAGTAGAAAAGCTGATCAGATAAACTGATCCGAAATGTTTTAAACCGAAACCAGAAAGATGTAAAAGAAAATGAAAAACTTCCATTACTACAAATCAAAGAGAAGCAAAGACTCGAAGAATAACTCAGTTTTAAAGTACAGCTCTGGAAAAAAAAACACTTAAAATGATCAAATTTTACTCTTTATAGGTTCATGTTTGAGTAAAATGAACTTTGTTCTTTTATTCTATGAACTACTGACATCATGTCTCTGAAATTTAAAGCAAAAATTTAGTTTTTATTAGTAGAAAGTGATATATGGTCAAAATAAAAAAGATGCAGTGCTTTCAGACCTCAACAATGCAAAGAAAACAAGTTCATATTCATTTAGAAACAACAACACTAATGTTTTTAACTCAGGAAGAGTTCGGGAATCATTATTTGGTGGGAAAACCAGGAGGTTTTCAATGCGGCTCTTCATTTTTTTCAGAGCTGTATGATCTTTACCAGCTTCTAAAACCTGAAACATACAAAAAACACAGATTTAATAAACACAGATGAAGCCAAAAGTTTGTGAAACACGAAGCCAGTTCCCAAACCTGTAGCTGCGTATGAGAAAAAACAAAACAGTAACTTATATTAAATCTCCTTCTAAGGACGAGAACAAAATTATGACTCTTAAACTGAAATCTGTCTTACATTTGTAAACTCAATTTCTGTTCTCAGATGTTTGTGCTTTTTTGGGTTTCCTTTCCATTTGATCACGTAACTCGTTCGATGGGATAAAAGTGTTTCAATACGGCTGAGAAATTCCTCATCTGAGCGCAAAAACTTGAGTTTCTTCGATTTGCGCAGTTTTAAAGTTAATGGAAATGCAGCAGTAGTCTCACATCATGCAGCTTTTCAATTACTCTGAATAAAGTGTTAGAAAACTGCAGCGAGATAGTTGCTGTAAACTCTGTCAGTTTACAGCCACAGATGGATTCATCTGCTGATTCATCATCAGCAGATGAATCCTAAATGAGGCGCTTTATTCACATCAGGAATTAAAAACGTGCTGCCATACTTCTGCTGTTTTACGTGAAAATCTAAAGTTCGTTCATATTTCTTCTCGTAATGTAATCAAAAGTCTGACCTCGGCGCCATATTTTATTTTCCCATGATTCTCTTGGCAGCATCTCGGCGAGGAAAACAGCCTGACATGACGGAAAGAAACTTGAAAGGACACAAAGGCACAAAGAGGCGGAGGGCGCAGCGGCTGGAGGCGGCCGTCTCGGGCCCAACCGAGGAGCCGGCCCCGCCATAAAGCTGGGCCACTCCATTTCTGAGCGAATGCTAATGAGATTGCTCTGATCCTTCTGCTGCTTCCCATGTTTTCAACACCTTCAAGGACCACATGGCGCTCACAGCATAAAGACAACTAAATGAGAAATCTGAGCGTTTTTTGTGATGCCGGGGGCCTCCTCGCTTTTCAACCTGGTCGCCCATTCAGCCAACCCTCCCCGAGACGGGAGGATGAAAAAAAGACGGTGCTACAGGGGGGCGGATGGGTAAATAATAAAAAAAAAAGAAGCATTTTGTGAATGAGAAGCAATAATCAATTTATGGCTGTGTGAGGAAGACGGATTGTCGGACGGGAAGCTGGAAGGGAGGGGAAAGCAAAGGAAGGGAGATGCTCACGTTTTGATTCTCTTCCTCACAGCCGCTGTAATGAGATCACTAACATCTTGAGCCGGCCTTCACTATGGCCGCCGAACAACGGGCCACCAGATGAAAGGTGAATGGGCGTAGGTTCCCGCTGACTGGCTCAGAAGCGCTTTAATAGCACAACGCTCTAAGAAAGGTTCCTGGGCAGTAGCTCATATTAGCAGCGAAGCACACTGCTTAATAGGATGATGCCTTTTGGCTTTTGTCATGAGATGATTAAGGGCTTCGTTGTCACCGGTGCCTGCAGAGCACAAGGCACTAGAACCCACTCTGACTGGCTTTATTGTCTGACTCCGTGTGGCAGAAAGGAGAGCTTTTGGTGAAAACACCTCTCAGGCAGCTATCAGGTGAGCTCTGCCTTTCAGGCTCACATACATGGCCTCCTTGAGCATACCTCAAGAGCTTTGTTTTCCTCTAAAGACCCTTAAATGTGTCACCATGTCCGGACGACGACAAATGCCAAAATGAGAGCAGCAGGCTGCACACATGAGGCTGCACTGCAAAAACACAAAATCTGACCAGGTTTCCAATGCAAACATCTTAATACGCTTGAAATAAGACAAAACTAACTCATAGGTGACTTTTCAGCAAGAAATAGGAGCTTGTTTAAGTCAATAATTCCTTAATGTTGGCAGATTATTTCACTTACGGGGGGAAAAAATCCACCAATGGAACTGGAACTTTTTCATCAAAATTAAGGAATTAATTTTCATATTTCTTCCTAAAAAGTTCCTTATAAGTTCATTTCATGTTATTTTAACTGTTCTAAGACATTTGCACCAGAAGCTAAACCAAAAATACTTGGTTAGATTTTGTGGTTTTGCAGTGTAGCCTGTAATTATCCTTGAACAGATTTCAGCAACAAGACAATTCAAAGACATCATAAAAACATTAAAAACATATCATATGGTCAACAGTTGTGAAAAAAAGTATCAGACATTGCATTGTAAAAATCATCAGTACACATCAAAATGTTGATGTGTATTTGATGGTTTACTGCTGTAAGTTCATCTTTCACAAACTCACATTTAGGTTCAAAATCTAAAACTGGCTAAATTTATTTGACTTGAAGAGTAGAAGACAGTCGACACAGTGTGGGTTCTTTATTTCTTCTGCAGAGGTTTAATGTAAACGTCCGTCAATTTTAGATCTGTCCTGTGGCACAAGATCACTGAAAAGGCATGAAGTTAGCTCTACTTATGCTCTAAATAAAAGGAATATTGTGTGTCATCACATACTGTCATCACAATTTAGCACATCTTGAAGGAGGCAGAGAAGAATGAAAACTGGCCAGTCTGACGTTAAACAGAGAATGCTCTATTTCCATTTTTTGCAATCAATGCGGGTCTTTTCAATCAGGAGAGCTTTATACTCGGGATTAGTTTTGGTGACTTAAGAAGCTAGACCAGCGCCGTACCCCCACCATCTGCAACTGCTCCGCACTCCTTAACCCCCCTTCCACCCTCCTTAACCTTCTCCAAACCCCCCCAACCCTCACAAAAATAGCACAAGGATACCGCCACCCCTTTCACTCCTGCCTAACAAGGCAGCTCCGAAGCACAGGCCCACTCCAAGTAATTAAATCAATCCCTTTGTGTTCCCCGATATTCCCCTTCAGTGGGTGACTGCCCAAGATCTGATTACGACTCTTCATGCATATTCAAGCTACAACTTGCCAAGAACAACCGCATACTTTTTAAAAACAACTATTACCAATATCCTCATTTTTTAAAAAGCAAAAAGGTTTCGGAGGTTTTTTCTGTTATTGTACAGTTTGTGAAGTCAAAGGTTTGATTCTGATTGACTGCTGAAGGAGGCGCGGTCGTCACCGACTGTCGAGGCCTCGGCGAATTTGGGGGAAAAAGGCGTAAGAAGAGAAGTTAGGGTCGAAGCCCGAAAGACAAATTGGATTAGCAAGTATTGGATTAAAGGTAAAACGGAGGGATAACAAACAAGAAAAGCTGCCTGTGATCACAGGCTTTAATATATTTCTTTTCCTCTTAGATCCCTTTATTCTCTCCCTCCCCCTTTTTCCTCCTTTCTTTCTTTCTTGAGTACAGATCCCAGGCTTAAGACAGACTTATTAAAACTGGGATTAATTTGTAATGCTCCCCTAACCCTCGGGGTCAACCGAAGATTTGTTATCTAAAGCAAACAGGAAAAATGTACTCCAACAACACGAGGCGTTAAAGCCGTGTCCGTGGGGCTTCGGGGAGACTTTAGCTTTGTGTGAAAGGTGTTATCCTGAGATATATAGGAGAGGAACGACAGCCCATTAGGGCACTCAAGGTGTGGATTAAGATGATAATTCAATGTTACAGTTATATCTGGGTTCTTTAGAAGAAATATTAGGGATATATTTTTAAAAAGTCATGTAGAAATCACTAAGTGATGTAAGAAAACTCTCATTAACCTCATCTCTTGCATTTTTATTTAGTTTTTGAGAACTTACGTCATCCTAAAATGATTTAAATGTTATTTTTATTTTATTTTCTATGGGAAACCAGTGAAGGGACAAAGCTGACCAACTTCCCAGCTGACAGACCAACTACATCTACGGGTTTGTTGTTGGTCCTTAAAACCAAAATCTTCCTTTATCCTCCTTGATTTCAAAGGGTCATTAATCAACTTTTTAAGAATTTATAATACTTGTAAGAGATGCTACATTTCAGCAAAAACAAGCAGCTTCATCCATAATCTTTTTGAGTTGTTCAAACCTCACAGCATTTCTGAAAGAAAATGCTGTGAGTGTAATTTTTTTGTTTTTATTCACTTTGCTGCTGTGAGACATTAAATGATGTTTCTGTTACATTTCATTTCAGTTGTTAACAGTGAAGATAAAACAACGTGGGTGAAAAGGACGACACAAAAGCAAATATTTAATTTGATGAGCATCTTGTATAGTATTAAAAATATCTATTAGAGATACTTTTACTGCTCATGTGATGATGGCACATGAACAGATTCACTGTAACGCTGAGTTGTTTCTCCGCCGTTGGCACATTTAGCAGCGCGTTCACAAGGATAAATCGAGCTTGATTAGATTAATTTAAATGAAAACATTACAACCTTTATCCTGAAAAGCAGTGAAATGAAAATATGTCATTTTATGTTGATTTCAAATCATTGTTATTGGGGAATCCAACATATATCTGAAAGTTTTCTTTTCTTGTAAAGACAAAACATTGAAAGTAATGATGTTTTTTTATAATCAACATTATTTCTATTTAAGTGTTTTTTTCTTTTTACAAAGATCTTTGGCCTTAACAAATGAAGGAAGAAGGTTGAGCCGTCTCCTCGTTTTTCCTCGGCCTCTGAAAATGTGATCGGTGTCTCTCATGTCCATTTTCCGTTGGTAATCCTCCACAAATTGCCCTCCGCTGCAGTTTGTGTATCTGCTATTTGCACTGGATTAATGTGAGTCACTGGTGGCAAGTGTTCAAATCAATGTTTATTAATGGTTTCTTTAAGTGTTTAAAGATTAAGTCATTAACATATTGATGAAGTTTTTAAAGTTGCCCGTGGAGAGAAAAGGAGCCGGAGCTGGAGAGGGTTAGACGAGCCGCCAGGAACCAGAAAACGAGACTCTGAGGAGGAAGACAGAAAAAAAGAGGAGCAGTGAGAGTCCGGTGATTCATTCAGCAACGAGGAGTGGCTGTGTTACCGCACAACATACATCCACATTCCTCTTTTCTTCAAGATTCACACTGAAACATGCAGTTCTGGTTGTTAAAGTGACTGAAACATCCAGTGAGAGCTGCATTCTCAGTGCGATGCAGCTCAGTCAATTCAAATTGATTTTACTGTTCAGGAATGGCCGCCGCTGCCCTTTTGCTCGCCACTGTAATTCCCTCCCTCACCTGATAAAGGAGCCGATCCATAATAAATCAATTCTAATTAGGTTTATGTTTGGAGGGAAGAAGGAGGAGGGTTAGCCCGTTGCTAACGGGACTCTGCTGTTGTTTTTCCTTTCTATCCGTCAGTCATCAGCACACTTGATATCACTTCATCTTGTGATTATTAAGTGTGGATTACTGATGGCGTTATTTGCTTATGCTTCTTGTATCAAGGACATAAGAGCGTTCTTTCCTCCAAGCTCTTTTCTCTTTAATGATTTTGTGTCAAACAAAGGGACCAAATTTAACAGAATGTGTCAAAGTTGTTTCTGCTTCTTTTAAAGGTGATCTGTTTTGCTGGATGGATTGATGGTCTATATAAAACATGTTCATTGTCATTTTTCAGTCTGATCAGTTCTGCCTATTCTGATCTCCTTTAAGGTGTTTTAGGGCGTCTTGTTCCAAGCTGCTGCTGGCCACCCCCCCGCCCCCAACTCAACACTTACACTCAAACTTGAAAACCAATGCGTAATTATACAACTGCTTTGAAAAGCAGACGAGGAGCCTCCTGCACAACCAACAAGAATACATAAATTGGCTTCTAGATAGTAAGTCAACAACAAAACACATGTCTTTTCCAGCAGCCATTGCATGCAGCGGTAAAACCAGCTGACCATATGTGCTGGAACTTCCCTGGGGTTGCTAGGTAACAAAATTGGCTTCGGTGGGGTTGCTAGGTGACGGGCAGTTCCTGCTGATTTGTGACGTTATATTCCCTCTGTGTGTGTTTTTAAGTGATTGGGCTTTTTTTTTTTTTTTTTTTT